GACATGTTCGTACGAACCCTTTATACGAACCAAAGTAAGAGAAATTTAGGATAAGAATACGAACATGYTCTTGCATGAGGCCCATTGTGACTTAAAACTTTTGCACAACATTGAATTTCAGTTCACCTCACTTGCAAGTATGAAAACAAGCACAGTTTTGTTTATGTTTAAGTCAAAGTAGCAATCTTATCTTACTACCTGACATTGAGAGCTGACCACGTATGGAATTAAACAAAACACGGAGCTCCACATGCAAATAAGGGCCGATTGACGATGGAGAGCAGGTGCTGACCTTCAGCTACACTTTCACTGCGATATGACAAACACTGCATGACAAACCCAGCTAAACAGAGTTCTTCTTATTACATTGCACATATTTTCATTATACTAATTTATTTAATTTCAATTTCACGGACACTGCAGCTCCAGAACGAGACCTGTCAAGTGCCTTTTTGTCCATTTGTGCCCATGGGTATAAAGTGTGAAGAACACGTCACAAACCACCAGGTATTTTAGCTACAGTTATTAGTTCAACAGCAGAAAACATAGCCCCAGGCACAGGATGGGTGTTTACGGCAGAACCGTGCTGGAATTTAGTACGGCACAATAAAGCAACCACATATGAGGCAAGACATGAAACGACAGAACTTCGACGGGATTATAAGGTATGATTTTGTCTCCTGTAAAGATCGGGCGTGAGTTATTTCCTACAACTGCAGACACAAACACACATTTGGATTTTTCCTACTGGAACGTCAGATCAAATCATGAGGGTTAGTTTTTGTACACAGAAATTACTTTTTGTGGCAAAGTTAGAACCAATTTACAGGGTCTGATTGTATTCCACAGTATTCTGTATAGGATACACTTATTGCTTCAAAATGAGAACATGATGATCCTCTCGAGGAGGCACAAATGCAATCAAAAGTTCGAGCTTAAACACAATCAACTGATAAAACCGTATTTAGAGTTAAAATGACTCCAGTGAATGAGCTGGTTTTTCAAGTACAGTTGTTAATCTTGTGTCTGTCATTATTGCAGGAAGCAGTGACCATGAAGTGTGACGGTGCTTTTTAATGAACACTGTTGCAGTGATAAAGGCAGCACTGATTGTTAAATCCCATCTGCGGGTCAGCGCTAATTTAAAAATGATCAGAGTGCTCTGTTAACAGGAAAACACACGTTTAACACTCATGGAGGAAAAGCTAGCAACCAGGATCCAAAACGATCATTTCAGCCAAGAGACGAGCACATTTGTGCCGCTTAACTAATCTGTCAAATCTGCAGTCAGAAGAACATGCCGGGCTTATCAAAAGAAAGCAGAACGAGCTGTCAACGGATCAGATGCTCATGTGCCGTTTGTTTGTTTCCACTCTCTACCTGTCTGTGAGGGTTTCACATGCAACTGCTTGCACGGCGGCGAGAAACAAATTCCTTTCCAGCCTTCAAGCCTGCCAGACCCTTTCTACCTGCCGAGCTGAGAGCAGCCGTACACGAGTCGAATGCAGGCTCATCACTGAGGCGCCACTGCACACCTACATACCTCCATTGGTGCAGCCCAGAAAATCCCAGAACTGCATGTTAGGAATCGGCAAACAGAGGTTCACACACCTCTGCTAAAATCCCAAACGTCCGTTTGCGTTCCTCTCCTGCTTCTCCACTTCCTCGTTGCACTGTACGCTGACACATATAAGGGAGGGAAAACACCCGCCTACTGATTGTTTGGAACTGACACACCTGGGGGCTGAGTTTCATCTCCAAACCTCTGCRTCCTCCTCCACATCTACTACACTCCTACTACTGCCCGTCTTATATCGTCACCTTTTCACAGCTGAATAAAGGGAGCTATGAGAATCTGCACAAGCTCCTCACTGTGGCCAGTAAAGGAGAAAAAGTGAGAATGTTTTCAATTCAATTTCTTGTGAAAAAAAAACAACAAAAACAACAACAATACCACAAAAATCAGGTTAAAATAGTCAATGGTTTGATGAGCTGTGTGCGAAATGTCAGGTGCAAATAGACCAGTCAAAGCTGAACCCTTGTTCTGTTTTTCTGCCATTCGATTTTGCCTAGTGGCTGAGAACCTGCCATAATTTTGATTATGGCAATTAATCGTAAACTGCAAAGGAAACAATCTTAAAGGGATCCCTGATTAGTTGTAACATTAAACTTTATTTGATAAACATATATTTTAACTGTAAAATAAAGACTGTAAAAAACTAGGATGTTTAGTTTTGTACATTTTTAAAAATATATGTTAACATGGGCGGAGCCATTTTATTTACACGCAAAGCATTCTGGGTAAATGATGACGTGGATAGGTCCTCGGTGTGAGCGAACTATATCCACCCTGAAGGTTAATCTTGG